TCCTCTTCTCTCTTTTTTTTTAAAGCAATAAATTAATTAGGTAAAATGAGATAACATCTGTCCAAGGTCTGGTACACAGTAAATGGTGAAAACTCTCATTTTCCATTCCTTCTTCCTTTTTTTTCTCATCTGACTTACCTTGCTCCTATTTAATTTCCAGTTCTGACTCTCAGGGGACCAAGATAAGTTAGAGTGATATGTATATGTTGAAGGAACTTCTGAGAGCTTCTGATTGTTCAAGGAAATAATCCATTTGGGGGTAATTGCAGTAAGTTGCCTGATTAAAATACACACTCACACACACACACACACACACACACACACACACACATATATATATTGCTAGATAGATAGCTGAAGTAAAGAACTAAAGAAAAGTGAGAGTAAGTTATTTAATAAACTATATATGAATAGATCCAGTACTGAGACAATATAGTGCTAGTCGCTTTTGCCAGTACTAGTGGTGAAATAGCCTTTTTCATCTGTTCATCCTCATCACTTACCATACAGAGTTTGCAGGACAGCTGGTGGCACAGTTCAGAAGTACTGCTTATAGTCATGTAACAGAATATTACCTGGTCCATTCTGGAATAATATCATATTTTAATGAATCACATGCTTTGATGCACTAAATTAAATAAACATGGACTACTAAAAATATCTGGACTCTTTTCTACAGTACATCCTAATCTTAGAGATCTTTCCAGGGGCATAGCTATATTACCCTTGGAAAGTGAGTTAATAGGTAGGATTTTTTTTTGACAACTGTCTTTCTAGAGATCAATACGACAATTTCTTCATCACCTCATTATTAGCCTGATAGAAAGAGAGAAATGCATCTTTATGTCTCTATTTCCTGGATTCTTTTTCTAAGCAAAAGAGAGAGAATGTATTTTAAATGACACTTTGCCTGCATTAACACATCTGCAAAATTTCTTTGAAAGAAAAAAAACAACAACATGATTTTCTCAGAACAACCACATTTTTAATGACCTCATAATTGCTGTGCAGATAAATACATTCTTGTATGGTCCTCACTTAGCATTTCAGTATACTCCTCAAAATATTGTGAGAGATACAAGAGTAATTTTAGAACTGTGTCATAAACTAAGAGGCCATGGGTAATGAAAGACCCTTATACCTTGGATGCTTTAACAACTAATCTATTTTTGGCAAATTCTCAACCTCCATAATATCCTTTTTTCCTCCCCAAAGCAGTAATTCAGTCAAACAAAAGAAAGAGAAATGTACATTATTACTTGTTATTAAGATGGCCTGACAGTTTTTTGTCAAAACGTAGGTTTTGAGATGATTATAGTAAAATTTGAGTGACAGGCCAGCCAGTGGTATGGCATTTAAGGCAGCCAGATCCCATATGCCGACTCCATGGTTTGCATCCTGGACACTGCAGCTTGAAAACCATGCTGGAGGGACCAGTAGTTAGTGTAATGGCTATGTCACTGGACTCCCACGTATTCGACCCCGGTTCACGTCCTGGACCCAGTGACTTAAAACTCATGCCAGACGTGTGTGCATGCGTGCCCAAGATCCCGAGAGGAGAATGGAGGAGAAGGGATTGTGGTGTGGCCATCCCCCCTCGGGGGTGATTTCTCGCTTTCTGTCTCTCTGTCTCTCTCTGTCGGTGAGCGCACACGCCCCATAGCAAAAACCTCTAAAAAAAGAAAGAAAGAAAACCATGCTGGACTCATGTGCTTGTGTACTCAAGATCCTGAGACGAGAATAGAGGAGAAGGGATTACAGTGTGATTACAGTGTGGCCATCTCTACTGCAGGATACCTTCTCATTCCCCCACCTGTCTGTCTCTGGTGAGCACATATATCCTATAGCAATTTATAAAGTGCATGTACCTGTCACCCCC